GAGAGAGGGAGAGGGAGAGGGAGCGAGAGAGAGAGAGAGAGAGAGTTTCAGAAAGTTGCCTCGGCGCCACTTTTATCCCACGACTGGCCGCACAGTGCAGCTATGCAACTAGTTAATTTTCCATAGCCTGGGCTGACATTATTCCAAGCCACGATCTATACCCATGGCTTCTCCATTGGCGCTGGGGACAACCGTGGGATGACGTTGTCCACACATGTGTTTAGCTTTGTTATATCTTTAGTTGTAGAAGACCTATATTTTTTGTGGCAATAAAGAATCAGTTACTAATATAATGCAAGGCAAGCCTAGTAGAGTTCAACGTAAAACACAAAACTACAATATTCGTCAGATGAGGAAACACACTTGCTAATATATAAAGGCCTCTCAAATACCGCAACGCTCTAGTATGCCTGACAGCGGTGGGTTGGTAGTGGCCTTCGGGAGCGGAAAACTGTACTCCTTTAGCGGACAGACAATTGTATATGTCTATCTGGCTAGTTTCTACTCTTTCTATCCAATTCTGAAGCCTGACAGAGGCTCTGTTGGCAAGATGCCGATCTTGTATTCCAAAAGGTACGCAATAGAACAGCCCACGCTAAGGTTGTTAGTGTACTCAACTTCGTGCATGTCAAGTCATGACAAGAAGCAGGTGTGCCGCGACTGGTTGCAGTAAATGTCAACTCCGCTAGGTGCGCTCCGTGTCACCGCGCACACTGCTGATCTTGCAGAGTCAGTCAACTTCCGGACGAGTTCCAATACACAAGTGAAGCGGCCTTCTGACAGGTTGCTTACAATGGACATCCGGCCCGTTTCACATACTAGATGGCCTCTTGTATCTCATGGAACCTCACCGGACATCAGTTAAAGTATTAAACCGCCCTTCACGCCTGGCCTATAAAAGCCGCGAAAGCTCTGACATGCACTCATTCTCAGTGTCAGTGACTAGCTGCTAACAAGCAAGGAGGTTTGAAAGACAGGAATCTGCGAAAGCGCACAAGGTGAGACCACTACAGTTGTTGTATCTCTTTATAGCCTTTACATGATACTTGCTTATCCTCTTTTGCACCTCTAAGAAAGTGTGTTACTAAATGTTAGCAATTGTTTATCGTCTTTTATACCTCTGATATTTAACCTCCCTGCTCTGAGAAACTGTGTTACTAAATTTTGCCATCATGTTCCCCCCTCAGATTCAAGATGAAGTCCCTTGTTGTGTATGGATTGCTGATGTTCTGTCGGGCCCTAACAATGGTGAGTTGAAGATACACCTACTACCTGTAGTTTCCACGAGAATTCGCATGGTCTAAAATTGTGCGGCAAAATGTACTCTCGAGCTCTAGTGGTAAGCTCCAAGCAGATCCCTCTCGGTGGCAAAAAGACAGTATCAAATTGGCCAGGCAGTATCCATTAGCCAGAGCACGGTGGCCAGAGAAGGTCCGCGGCCACCCACCGTTGGTAGGGGTCAGGACTAGAAAAAAAAAACGGCCATATATAAAAATGTAACGATCATTCCCCCACAACCTCTGCTTGGAGAGTACTCTAGCGAACCAACTCCCGTGGGCATGTTATCTCTCTATTTGACCGATTTCTACTCTTTCCAGCCGTCTCAGCCGAAGCCTGGTAGAGGCTGCTAAAATTATACAAGCAGTAGCTAAAATGCTTACAAGTCACCAGCGGTTAGCATATGGATTTCGTATGTTTGCGGGAGGCTACGAAGCACTTGTTGTCAATGTAAGGGCGCATCTGGCCTCTGCTAAGTTCTCCAGATTGCTTGGAAAATACGGTAGTAGAAATTGCCACCGTGAGATTGCTAGGTTGCAAATTGTACTCCTGTGGTCGGCTACTTGAAGTCCTCTGGTTTGCCATTCAATCTATTTGGCCAATTTCAAATGGGTACTGCCTTAGTAGACAATCTGATACTGTCTCTGCAGTCACCAAAAGATTATCTGCTTGGAGACTGAAGACTAAACAGTGTGTTATGTGTTCCCTCTACAGGCCATGCCCCCTCCGGCTGACTTCGACCCACACCAATTGCCCGTCGACCATTTGTGGGATGAGCCACTCAGTGTTCCGGTGGATCACGTGGAGGAAGTAAGTGCGTTGTCAATTCATTCAGTCTTCCTTCTGACATTGTTTTTCATAGCCTGTTATTAGTCCACGGGCGTACTATATATCTAGACTATAGCCAAACGAATTTTCCCCAGTATGTATTCTTGGTCAGTAACATACATGTTTGACAAGCCGTGACAACTAAAGAACCCACTTTTATTCACCCGATTCAAACTTCTGCCAATTACACCATGCTCTTCCAGCCTGGTCCCGATTTCAAGTTGGTGTCCCTGACTTCCTTGAACGCACTCACCTGCCAGAATGTGCCCCTAAACCCCTTAACTGGCAAACACCAAGATTAACCACATAACCATAAGCGCTTCAGCAAGCCAGTATATTCATGCCCATAGCCAGGATATTGAATGGGGGGTTCTTCCCACTGCTTGAGGGGACCTCGAGCGCCGTAAGCGCGAGGCCAGCGCTCAAGGCGCGAGGTTCCTAGGGGGTCCGGGGGCATGCTCCCCCGGAAAATTTTGAAAAATGAACCTTCTAAAATGGCATTTCGTGCATTTTTGAGAGGATTTCCAACAAAAAAATCAGAGATAAATTTTTATTCAATGACAAAGGAGCAGTTTTTCTACGATTCCAGTCCATCTTTTCAAGAAAAATCTTGGACCTTTCCATAAACTGTGGGCCAAATAGTGGACCTTTCCATAAAAGTGCACCAAAAAGTGGACCTTTGAGCCTTGTCACC